CCCCCCCCCCCCCCCCCCCCCTCCAGGGTGACGCCGTTTTGGTTGGCGACACCGAGCGACGGACACCTCGATGTACTGTATCGATGTCTACGTTACGTATATACTACTGCTACGTGAATGTGCACCGACAGCTTCTGTGTGGTCACGGAGCTTCTACCTACCCCGGCAGAGACGCTCTGCTGTGTGTGTAGAAAAAGAAAAAAGAATACATCTTGTGTGGGTACTGACCAGCTACGAAGTAGTTCTTGTTGTTGTCTTCACATTCAAAACCACTCCGGTCTCCGCTCAGTACCTTGTGTTCATAGTAATTCGAGAGGTCGTGCGGGAAGGAAGGCAAAGGCTGGGGTCATTCACCCCCCTAGGGAAACGGTTGACGGCGTACAGATGAAACGGAGTGGTTACCCTTGCCCTTCCTATTCGACACTGCCGGAATGGCCCTCCTAGTACACAACACATGTTTGGTCGTGCATAGCGTCATAATGGTGCGAAACTTCACAATGGATGTGTGCGTACCATGAAGTAATAGTCAAACAGCCGTCGTCCTGAAACCTGTAGCTTGAGTAGGACACGCGACCACACAGCACACGAGACACTCACGTCGAACCAGGAAGAAGGTGCACCCCTGATTGACGGGGTGCTCGTCGACAGACGAGTCGCCGGTGTCGGGCAGCTGCTCGATGGCATCAGGCGCCGAACCTTCTTCCAAGCCTGCTGCTGCTGCTGCTGCTGCTGCTGCTGCTGCTCCAGGCGGTGCTGTAGCTGAAGCCGTGTCGGCGGCGGGATCACCTGGGAGGCGGTGATGCGACGAAGCAGCTCTTGTCTGCGAAGCCGACGCCGAGGGCAGGGAGAGGCCGGCCGTCCCAGTGGGCAGGCCGGTCGCCGTCGCCACGACTGATGCCGGTACCATCATGTTGCAAGTTATCATCAGAGAAACGGCGGTGAAAGCCGACCCAAGGATCATGTTGCAACGACGAGTTTTAAATACGTTTGGAGGTTCTTCCCTCTCTACTCTCGAATTCCGGCCTAACACGGGCCTATCAACCCACCGTGTGGTTGGAACACTCCAGCGCACACCACACACACGCGCGCGAAGCAGCTCTTTGACCAGTCGCTGCGTCGCTGCCGAGTTTCCCGCCGCGGTAAAACGCGGCGCAACTACACCGCTCCGTGGTTGTATTCCGGGGGGTTCTGCGGGTTCTCCATTGTCGTGCTCCCCACGCCATTCTCTTGCGCTCGGCGAAGGGAGTGCTGCTCTACTTCACCAGCGAAGAACGGGAGAGCCAAAGAGACGGGAGAGGCGGAAATAATCTCTGCCAGTTTGTGCAGGTGGCACGCTCAGGGAGATCGTGCAAGCCTAAGAGATTGTCCTTGCCGATCGGCATTTTCGCAGACCGGGAAAAGATTGTTGCGCTGCCTTCGTAGCAGCAGCAGCAGCAGCCATGTCACTTCCGAAGGAGCTAGTGGGGCGGGATGGAAAGTTAATCTGGGATCGCAAGAGCAATGCTCTTCCCGACCCCGGCGCGCTCGTGCGGGAGATTCGGTCGCCGGATGGAGTGACAGGTGAGGAGAGGACAAGGGTACTCCAACCAAGAACATGTCTTTCCGGAGAAGTCAGCAACAAGCACTCGGCTGTTCATGACACTACGGCCCACCAAACACCACGATTCTTTTCCCCCGGTCTCGCCCCCGTGATTCGTTGCGAAATCCTTCAAGCAGCAGGCGGGCAAAGTGGGAAAAGTGTCCCGATTTCTCTTGGTTTTCACGCAGCAGTACAACAAAGAAAGCGTACCTCTGATGACATTATTGCACTATCTGCAAATATGGAGTATGATAACCCGCTGCTGTTGCTGCTGCTGCTGCTGCTGCTGCTATTGCTGCGGTTGTTGCTGCCGTGATGTTGAAGACAGCAGGTAGTGGGTACTGCTGTAAAATAGCAGTGGCCGGGACCAACAAGCAGGGCAACACCTTCTTGCAGCGGTCATTTTCTCTGTTCGCTTGTCGAAGGTGCCGCCGTGTAGCATCACCGAACGTTGACTCAGTTGGATTATGCAGAGAGTTTGGCTTCTTTGGAAAGAAAGGAGGTCCACGGGCGGAACGTTGCCCATCACCGCCAGCAAGCGGGAATATTTGCCGGACGGGCGAGAGCATCGAGAAAGAAAACGACACACAGCTGTTTGAGGCAGGCAACGCGGATCGATATCGCTCAGGACGGAGAACGTCGTCGAGAGCATCAAAAGCTCGAAAAGGCAAAACCTTCCACTGCTATATATACTTTGAAAGTATCGAAGGTTTTGCCTGGGCGGACTCTTGATGCTCTCGACACTCTCCTCCAAGTTGTCCTCCAAGCTTGCGTCTCACCCCGTCCAGCAGCTGCGGTGTTCCCGCCGCCGATGATCGGTGAAGTAGAGCAGATACTTGGTGCTTTCCGTGGGGGTGGGTGCCCTTGTGCAGCTTCATTCCTCACCTTAGGGCAGAGAGCGGTAGGTCTCCGCAATCGAACTGCCTGTACGCTCAGCAGTAGCACAACCATTTGATACGCAAGAGGCAGATTACTTCCCTTGATGCACACCTCCCATCCAAAGCGCAGTTTTTGTGCCTGCTTTCTCAACGATTGGTAGCGGTGCGGCAAAGAACTTACAGTATGTTGTCCTCTTCGCTGCGAAACGTGAGCATGAGCAAGGATTGACTGCGTCCTTCATTGACAACGCGATTGATTCATGCTGTGCATTGCCGGCGGCGAGAGATCGCCTATCCTGGTGCGCCCAATTGCTTTGGCCTGCTTTCCTTGTCATCCCNCCCCCATTTTTTCGTCGTCTGCGCTACCCCCCCCCAGATCTGACCCTGCTACGGCAGTGCGTGATGGTGGTGCTGGCGCATGCTCGCCCGAGCTCGCTCCCGACGTGGTGCAGCTGGCTGTGCTGCCTCGGCGAGCCCGAGACTACGCTGCGAAGTCTAAGGGAGACGAGTGGGGGCAGCAGGTAAAAGAGGAGCGGGTTCCTCCGACGATACCGGTGTGGGGTTTCGGGTGGGGGTACTCATGCTGTGCATGCCTTAGCGGTTAGACCATTGGCCACGCGTCCTCTAGAGGACGGAGCAGGGGGGGCTCTCGACGGCGTTAACCCAGGAACGTTGGAAAATGTCGCGCACGGGACAATGAAGAGCAGGTGGACATGGCGATGGCTATTGTTCGATTCCATCGCACATCCAACAATATGGGCAGGTAGCACGTTTGTTCGCGTGAAGTTTGGTGCGGAGTTGGGGGGCGTATGAGATGGAATTCACCCAAACACGATGATCTTGATGCCAAACCTGAATTCTGCGCGCATGAGGCTACTCGTGTTGTAGGGTTTCCCGTCTCCCGTTCGTGCTTTCAGGCTGTGGCGCCCCCTTAGACTTATTTTTTTTGTTTTTTTTTCGCACGATCTGTCTCGTTAAAAATAGTCTCGAAGCGCTGCCCTGCCGCACCCTCCTTAAGCTCCCCCATACCGCGCTGCTAGCTTCTGCCCCGCCGCCTTTAAGACCACAATAGAAGACATACCATGGTATTCCTCGGGAGTCAAGTTTGCATGTCTTGTGTTGTTGGGGAGATATGTGCATATCGCGAAGCAACGTTGGCAGGAAGCTTTCGTCCCTAGCTATTGGCGCAACATGAATTAACGACATGGCTAACGACAACAACGACGACGACGGCAATGACATGACCAACCGCGATGACGACTACAATCTGAAGGGTCTGCGGGTACGTGTTCAAGCGTGGTGACATTGCGTGGAACTGCCGCAAGTGTCAGGTGGACAGCACGTGCGTGCAGTGCGACGCCTGCTTCCGCCGCTCGGACCACACCGGGCACCCGGTAAGAGCCACCACCCCCCCCCACACACACGCACACAAGTACGTGCAACGCGCGTGTTCCGCAAGGCAGTTTGTTTGGTAGCCGTGTTATTTTCGTGGCCTTCCAAACGTGGGTGCGCTGCTGCCTTTCTCATCTCGTTGTCAACCATCTCGACTGCCAGGCGGGGTTTGACCTGTACCATTGTTAAAGACGATGTCGAACGATGAGGAGTCGGCTCGAATATTTTTTCCGCCCTTGTACGCGGTTCTCAAGTGTTTCGCGTCCACTCCCTCCCCTACTATAGCATCATATTCTAGTATACTCATTTTATTTGCCCACCCGACAAAGAGGCGGTTTTGAAGGCCTCAGCAAGGCCTCTCTCTGCGATAACGAGTCTTCCCGGAAGTCTCCAACTTTCACTGCCTTTGTCGAGAGAACCAAAAGAACAGAAAATCCAGCCTCTTTTACCAGAAGTGTTACGATCGGGGCACACTTATGGCCCGCATACACCCGCCCCTTTTTGTGTGTGCCTACTACTCTTTTTTCACAACCAGGTGTACTTTCACCGAACATTGCCGGGCGGCTGCTGCGACTGCGGCGACGAGGAGGCCTGGGCGGAGGAAGGGTGCTGTAGCCGCCATCGCGCGCGGAGAGGAGACCAGGGTGGTGCCGGAGCCGGCGATCCTCTCGCCGCGCTGCCGCCGGACTTTCAGGCGAGGGACGGAGTTGGAGGTCTCGTCGTTGTTGCGTTTCGTTTTTTGTTGTGGTTGGTGGTGGGATGGTGGTTAGTGCTGTCGGTGATGGTTGTTCTTGCTGCTGACGTTTGTCGCTGCGGTTGTCGGGGTTGTTGTCGTGGTCGATTGTCGTGGTGCATGGTGGCCCGGGCTGTTGGTTCTGTTGTTGCTGTACGATGCGCTGTATACCGTTCCTCCTGCACTGTGTATCAAGTCGGAGTAAGATTGACCGCCCTACCTACTCCACCCTCACCGATTCAAGTGCAGTCGCTCATGGCCAGATCAACCCTCCCGTCTCTTTCTTGTCCTCTGTTGTGCTGCACGGCCGTGCCTGGCGATTCGTACGCCTCCACGTCTCTCTCCCTTTCCTACCGCTCTTTCACCCTCACCTTTGACATCTTTTGTGCAGCACGCACACACGACCATCGAACCGCCTTCCATCCTGCCGCCTTCTATCCTGCATCTTTCTTTTTTTTAATTTCATCAGTCAGTATGACCCAACGAATCCATCTCTACCCAAGAAAAGAGTCTAAGATAGATTAGCAATGGATCCCGTGTGCACCAAACGCGCTACATGTCGAACCGACATCTATCCCGCCTCTCTCTCTCTCTCTCTCTCTCTCTCTCTCTCTCTCTCTCTCTCCGCTCTATCTCTCTCAGGCGGTGGCCCGTATCGTCGTAAGGGGGGTGGTCCTCTTCCTCACCGGCGTCTGCTGGAGCTCCCTCGACACCTACGACCCGGCTTCCCAGGAACCGACAGCCCCCGCCCCCGGAGCCTCTGGCAGCGGCAGCGGTGGGACTCGGCGTAGGAGCGGGCCTTCCTTGTCATCTTCCGCGGATAACGCCTCTTCCGCCGCCGCCACCTTCGCCGGGGGAGGAGGGAGCATGTTTTTCGGAAATAGCGGCGTCGCCGGTGGCGGCGGCGGGCGAGGTGCAGGGGCCGGGCAGGCGGAGGAGACTGTGGTAGTGCGGGTGCACAACGATGACGTGCACACGTTCGAGTACGTGATCGGGACGTTGACGGACCTCGGCATCTCGTACCACAACGTGAGACGAAGCGGGTAGGCGGGCGTGTTGCGATAGGAAAGCACCCCGGAGAAGTTTTGTGGGGCGCGTTGTTCGGTTGATTGTATCGACGAACTGATGTGTAGCTCTGATGGAAGCACGCATCCAAGTTTGGGGCATGCGCTGAACGTGGTTTTGGTCTGCGTGGTTTGTTGTTGACCTTGATTCGGCCGGAAGGCGTTCTCGCTGATAGGGTGCCTGTCCCTGACGCGGCGCGACCTACAAATTCATTTCGTTTCCCCGTGGGTACATACCGCGCGGTATCGTAGACTAGCCAACTACTGTGNGTTAGCAGCATGTATTGCCGGCTTCAATTTTAAAACTGCGTCGAGACCGCACAGTAGTTGGCTAGTCTAACATACCGCGCGGTATCGTAGACTAGCCAACTACTGTGCGGTCTCGACGCAGTTTTAAAATTGAAGCCGGCAATACATGCTGCTAACGAAGCCATTGACCTTCTGCACATGCCATCCTCCTTTTTCGTGTGCAAGCAGAGCAAGCTGCTGACTTCCTTCACCTCATTCGCCCTCCCTTGACGGTCTCGGTTATCTTCCCCCCCCCCCCCCCCCCCCCCCCCCCCCCCCCCCCCCCCCCCCCCCCCCCCCCCCCCCCCCCCCCCCC